GTATTTTACTTTGTAAACTAACCTATGTTCTTGCCTTTTTGATGGAGAAGAACAGATGAAGGGGAAGGAGGCGCAAGAAGAAGAAGAAAAGAGGTGGGGGTATGGGGTTTGGGATCTTGGAAGAAAGAAAAAAAGAAAGTAAAATTGAGATTTTTAAAAATAAAATAAAATTTCCACGTGTCACATACCAATTCGTTTATTTTTCCACATAAGAGGCGTCTGAATGTACGCACTTAAAATGCGGTTTTAAAAATATAAAAAGTGTCAAAATGACACAGCGAGACCCTACATGAGGTGTCTAAAATGAACATTGCCCACTTGAGGTGCCTAAGTGAAAGTTGGTGCCAAATTTAGGGGGCCACCGATGGGTTAGCCCAAAAAAAAATAATCTATACTCTATTGGCCAAACGTTTAATAGATTATTTCGAAAAATGTTTTTCTAAAAATAGTTTTGAAAAAGCAATTTGATGATTTATGTTAGACTAAACTTTTTAAAAATAATGTATTTTCTCAAAAAAATAAATTATAACTTTGGAAAACAGTTTTGTTACCCACAGATCAAAAGTTTGGCCGGAAGCGGAGATAGTAGACAAAGAAGAAAAAGGACGTATTTTCCAAAATTACCAGCTGGATATAAATTTATTGCCAAAATAATAACGGATGCGCAGAATCCGCGCTCGGTTGACAACTGTTATAGTGGATCCCAAGCGGTTCACGTTTTCACTCCGCCTGCCCCAAAATATATAGCAGCAATACTAGGGCTTTAATTTATCATCCAAGTTCTGATGGAGCAGCAAACTGTGGGCAGTGGAAGGTACGTTCCCTGGTCTGATATTCCAAAAGAACTCGCCGAGAGGATCGGTAGTTGCCTGGACACTCAAATTGACGTTCTTCACTTCCGTTCAGTCTGCACAACATGGCGTTCCTCACTTGCTCCTTTCAAAACCGTTCCTCATTTTCCTGTTGAAATCCCCTTCCCTCTCGATGACCGTAACATTTATAAAGGGAGGCCTGGTTACTATCTCATCGAAAGCACTGTTTACATTTTACAACCACTTGACGGAGATTCAATTGATTCGCCTTGTAAAGGATGGTTGATCCAGGTTATAAAAACAGCAGATGGAAAATTGAAGGTTTTGAATCCACTGACAGGCAGGGAAATACAGAATCATATGCCTAAGGTATTGAATTTACTGGACTTTCGCGTTTCTCAAGTTTGCAAATCTTATCATGTGCAGTACTACATTCCCTCGAAACCTTTGTTCCGTGATTATGATGTAGGTTATGTTAGGAAAGTTTTGCTTCTTATGAACCACAATTCAGGGAGTGAGAAGGATAGTTTTTCTTTAATGGCGATTGATCGTGATAATCGGTTATGTTATTTGAAGTCTGGGGATGACAAGTGGACTAAGTTAAAAAATCCTAGTTCTTATATTGATGATATCATTGTGTATAAGGGGAATTTTTATGTTGTTGATCGTTATGGTGAGACCATGAAATTTGATTCCTCGTTTAATGAGACGACGGTGGCATCCAGATTTTCCGGTGGTGGTAAGAGGAAGAAACGACTGGTGGAATCAGGAGGGCAGTTGTTTTTGGTTGATTATAGTTCAGATTTCGGTAAGGATGCCAGCCGTGAAATTAAAATTTACCGATTGGATGAAAAACAATATGAGTGGATCGAAGTGCATACTTTGGGTGATCGAATTTTCTTTGCTGTTAATGACTGTTGCTTCTCTGTTTCGTCGTGTGATTTTGGTGATAAGTACGGTAGAGGAAACTGCATTTACTATGTAAAGGGGTCGATGTATTTTGACGATGAAGACAGTGACGATGATTTTGGTATGTGTGGTTGTTGTTGCCCTCTTGATGATGATGATGTGATTAGCTACCCTATTAGCAATTATGATGACAAGACTAATGAATCTGGTAGCAAATCAGGTGGTGGTGGTGTGATCAGCACCAGTATTAGCAATGGTGATCACAGGATTAATGCTTCTACTAGCAAATCAGGTGGTGTTAGAGAGGAACAAGCGGTAGATAGATACAAAGGAGTATTTGATGATAACACCTGTGTGTTTACCATAGAAGATGGTAAACTTGGATCGCTGTTATCATTCCTTGATTATGCAGAAATTTTATGGCCACCGCCATCTTGGCTTAAAGGTGAGGATCAGCCTCATCCACATGTTCATGTAAGTCTTCGAAGTTGTTCCATTTTTTAGAAGTGTTTGGCCTAATTGTAACTCGTCAATAAAATGCAAATCTTCTCAATTACAGGAAATTGCAGAGTCGTTATTATCTATAAATAAACAAGGATGAGACAGCAAGCGAGATCAAGTTATGAGGAAGAGATGCAGGAATCCATTTGCTCTCTGCTCTTTCTAATTTGTCGTTTCACCTCTAATTTGCTTTTGCTTCTTTTGTCTTAGTTAATGGTTAATGAACAGAACATTTTAGAAACTTTGTTTGGTATTGCTTTTGCTTCTTTTGTGTTGGTTAACGGCTAGAGTTTGCATATTTACATAGCTATAGATTTAATGACTAAATTGATTTGCGTTTGTATATTTCCATTTTTTTAATTGATTATACAAATTGTTTATTAAGTTCTCTTAAATAATGCAACAATTTTGGTTACAAAAAGGAAAAAGATCCCTTAATTCATTGTTATTATATTTAATTAGAATTCGTTACCTAATATGACATTTCATCTTTTTTGACAAAAAAAAAAATATGACTCGATGTATATGAATAATTAAATCGAGTTTACAAAAAATTGTAGTTAAAGTATATCCGTTCATATAAATAATATGATGTATAACAGTTTGTATATGTTTATGAGTAAATTGTATATCAAAATCTCAATGAGGAAAAAAACCTAATAGTTGGAGATTGAAACTGTTATTGCTTTTGCTTCTTTTGTGTTATAGTAATAGGACATACTATAGATTAGTGGCTATTAGTAATCTATAGTCTGTCTTATTTATAATAGCCAAATTACAATGGCAATACTTCAATTATTGAATAACAAGTAACTAAAGATCGAGATAAGAATGAGCATGAAAAACTTAGACTTTACAAAGAGATCAGAGGATTAGACAATTTCTTTCACAAACTCATACCGCTTCTTCCTCCATAGCTCAGACACACAAGTGCAAGCCCCAACTTAATCAGTTTCCGTGCAGCACTCCTGCTCTCAGTCCTGCCCTTCTCTCCCTCCATGGTCAACTATCAATTTAGGTATATAGTCCATTCTACTTAGAACTTACATTTATCTTACCACTTTTAAAAGTATTACAACTGAACGTTTCAAGAAAATAATCGCAAAAGTGAGTTCCAGTGACTTCTCCGAATTTCTCACCATCGACTGTATGACATACCAATGATGGAACTATCAGCTGTGGTTTCAATATTTTCGTGGTTAGCTTCAAATAATACACTAGTATCCCCTAAAATTACTTTATAAATATTTCCTTAACTATTTCCCACGTAACTTCCCCTTCCTAAAAGCCACCCCTTGGACAAGCGAAACCTCCAACAGATCTTCAAAGTATAAAACCTGAGCTAGCTGAAGAAAAGCTCAAACAAGGTGCACGATGGTCACAATTCTAGGAACTTGTATAGACCTTTTAACATGGTAGCAACAAATTATGCGTCTTATAGAATCTTGATTGTGAGATAATTGAGAGCAAAATAAGAGCATGTGTTGCATTATCTCTTTTGAGTCATGAAGAAGAAAGCAGATGAACATGGACCATTTTGTTTTTTTTCTTCTTCTGGGAAGGGGGAGGAAGGTGAGAGGCCTAGGAAACGACTGTAATTAACTGTCCCCCGTGAATAAGGAACTCACATTCGCACTTTCTGTAGGTCCACCAGAACAAGAATAACAGCTATTCAAAGGAAGATGGAAAAGTAGAGAAATATACATAGAATGGAATGACCCTTTCTTGAAATGATTCTCGCTATTGGGTTCTTATGCATAGTTTTTCTTCTATGCTTTTCACTTAATTATATCACACTGATTATCCAGCTATTGGACTACAATTACAGTTTCTTTAACATGGACTAGAATTGCATTATTAGTAACTTAGGTCGTGCATATAATGCAAAGAAAAAAACATGAAATCAAGACCCAATATAACTATGGATGGGAATCTTTTACAACTAAGATTTCAGGTCTACAATGAAGAGCATTTTTTTTACACACAGTTATAGCCCCACATGTTTTAAGCAGATAAATGTTTCTTCACCGCACTACCTGATTGATGAGCAAAGTATTTTTGCCTGAGAAGAACATAAGGGTATCCAAAGAGTGACAGCAGATGTGCAGGCTTCGAGAAGGAAAGTATCTCGTACCAAACTAGATCATTTTCGTCCAATGCTATTGAAAAACGTTCTTCACCAGCCTGCTCAAACACTACGTATCAGAAACTCATATATTGTCAAGTTTAACATGCAGCAATATAAAGGAGAATGATAGGTCTAAGATGTGATGGTAAACTTAAAACTTCAAACAAAGAAAATAGGACATAACATTATCATTCTTGTAAGCATTGTGTTAGACTTAGACACTACCACCGCCAATATTAACCTTTTGCAATGGCTGGCTTAGCAGCTTGTAATTGAAACAGAATCTTAAATCCTTAATGCTTATTTTATATAGCTAGAGTGAAATGAACCTAATGATATCATAACCAGAAAACCTAAACAGTTGAAAGGTATATTGTAAAACAAACAATTGCAACAAAGGAGAGCAAACTGACCAGCAAATGTCCTTGGAGAGTTCCACTGCCAAAACTAAATGAAGCACCCTTTTTCGAGTTCTTGTTCTCGGTGACATAAACCACCTGCAGAGGCATCATAAGCCACGGGAAGAACTCCTTCACGCAAACACAGAACTTTGTCCCACTTTGAATTGGAGCTTTTGGATCAACAAACGCCCAATTCAATCCAAAATGCCTGCAAAGTTGGTTTGGTACATAATCAGACCATTGATCGCATGATATTTCTGCATGAATAATTGATATACCTAACCTCCAATTTTGAAGGGCAGCTTTTCCCTTCTCAAAAGTCTCACGGCCTGAACCGACTAATACACGAGCACAATTAACAGAGAAACCATCCTTTGCAAGCTCCCTGTCTTGCTTAAGTAGAGGAGCAGGTTTATCAGTAGCTCCTCTAAATCTATTATCATAGTTAAAGGAACCAGACCTGTTACAGAGGAAATCCTCAATTAAACCAATAGAAAGGGAAATAAATAATACTCACTCTATTTCAATTTGTTTATCCGATTTTGACTTGGCACAAAGTTTAATCATAAACTAAAATATGCAGAATGTACCAAGTGGTCTAGAATCTCTTGTAAACGGATTAAAAAGCAAGATAAGACAAACAAATTGGAATGAAGCGAGTAATAAGTTCTGGGCATTCTTTACTTGTCGATACATGCTTTCTGCTCTTCAGGAGATGGACGCGTCCAGCTAAGAAATACCATCAAGTACTTAATCTGTAAAGAATTCACTAAATTTTTCTGCTAAAGAAAAATACGAGCATCAAAAACGAACGTAGAAATTATTCATGAACGGAATAAATAGGAGAAGAGAAGATGAGAATGAGATCGGAATTTTTTTTACCGGAGACTCCACCGCCGGCAGTGAGGCAACAGTGACAGTGAGCAGATGAAGATGAGAGATTTGGAATTGGGTTCTGTTCAGATTTGCCAATTAGGGACACTTTTATTTTCTCATTTTTGCTATTGAAATTTTAAAACATAAAAATAAATGAAATAAGTCAGATTTGGGTGACTGCGTCCGTGCGTGCAATTTTTATTTTTTTTTGGTCAGAAAAGAGTAAATAGCATATAATATAAGCTAAATAGTACACATTATTTTAGGTTTGTAATCAATTTTTCAGTTTGATCTTGCATGATTTACCTTCGGTTACTAATGTTTGAAAAATGTTATTTATTTGAGTTAAAATAAATTTAATTTGATTTGATTTTTTGATATTCGATTAGATCACAAAAGATAATATAAGTATGATATAATCAAATAGTTATATTTTTTTAATTGTTTTTTTTCACTATCAAAAAGTTATATTTGACTAACGAAAAAAATATCAATTATTGAAATAAAAAGTAATGCCGATTTTTTAAATATGTTTTCTAAATTCGATTCATATGATTGAAATAGTATTTGATAAAATAATTATACAAATACGTATTTGATGAGATAATTTTAATATCCCTAGTCTCCTAAAAAGCATATTGCAACATGCTAACAAGAATATACTTGCATGAATAATAGTAGTAGACTCCATGTATAAAGAATTATAGATTAAATAAGCTGATTTTTTTTAAAAAGAATGTAAAACAAAAAAATTAATCTTTTCAATTAACTCAAACCAAACCCCAAAAAAATACAGTTTAATTTATCTAATGTAATCTGCAAAATGCGTTATTTTTTTTGCGCTAAAGATTAAATACAAGCATCACAAACCTTTCCAAAAAGGAAATAAAGTCAAAAACACATTTTTATTTTGTTTTTTCATTATATGTTCAATATTCATATTAAAGATCGATTAATTTGAGTTTACACCGTAGGGCTAATTTGTGTTAACACTCCTAATCTCATTCACTTCGTGTTAGAAAATAGCATACACAGCGGAAGCATTCCAGAATCATACATCTTGCATGAGTATAGACAACAATCACAAATACATATCACACACAAGGTATGCTGAAAATTAACTCAGGATTACCTCTTGAAGCGTGTGCAAATATCTTGAAGCAAATCCAACTCTAGCTCTACAGTCTTCTACAGTGATCCCAACTAACAATTGAACTCTCTCAATACTTGGGTGGGCAAGTATCATATAAAATACTGAATTGTCTTTCTAGGTTAGAAAAATCCCTACTGAAAAGGAGTCATTTTTCATCAAGAAAAAGAAACACATGTTTTCTTTTCCCTAGAAAATAGGATTCTGAGTTCTAGTTAAATTGGGCACTGGAGGGACCACAGAATTTATTACTGAGGTTTCCTATTATGGAAATAATTCCAAATAATTAATTTGAATTATTCTTACCATAATAAATTACAAATCATTCCACTAAAAATTCGTAATTGCACTCC